TCCTCGGGGCGGTGGCAGGCGTGTCCCTGACCTCATGGGGAGCCTTGGTTCTGGCGAGGCCCGCTTTCCCGACAAGGGGACCAGGGCAGAGTGGGGACGGGTGGCCTGTGGTGCGACCCGCAGACCCAGGCATCTGTGGCGGGGCCCGTGCCCCCCCCGCGGACCCGGGGTGCAGCACTGACCGCTCCAGGCGCAGCGGCTGGAAGAAGCGGAAGCGGATGAAGTCGCCCGCGGCCGGGGTGAAGGCCCAGAAGAAGTCCTCGCGCAGGTAGGCCTTCTCCAGGGTGAAGTGCTGGTATGTCTTGAGGCTCGTGCTCACCTCGGCCGGCGGGTTCACGTGCTCCTTCCGCAGCGCCTGCTTCCCGAAGTCCTTGTCCTGCAGCCGGGAGGGCCTGCTGCTGGTGTGGATCCCCCCCGGCGCCACCCCAGCCCAGCCGGCCCCGGGCGAGGCCAGGCCTGGGTGCAGGGCCTAGGGGTGAGGGCCCGGGGTGAGGGCCGGAGTGGGGGGAGGGCCTGGGCAGGATGAGCCGTGGGCCCAGGGCGAGGGCTGGAGGCGGGGGGAGCTGGAACCAAAAAGGCCCCGGGCGGGGTGACGCAGCCCTGCCCACCTTCAGTTTCTGGATCTTCCCGGCCAGCGAGGAGTGGGTGCCCACATGCTGGAAGAGGGACGGCTTGAAGCGGACCCGCAGGTTGGCCTTCTGCCGGTCACAGTGCTTCTGCAGGGCAGGGCCCCGGACTCGGCTCAGGCCCCGCCCCGGCCGCCCACGCCTGCGACTGTCGCGCCGCTGCCCGCCGCCCATGCACGCCCGCCCTGCTCCCACTCACCGCGTCCCTCTCGGGGTTGCAGACCTTCACCCACAGGACGTGGTCCAGGAGCCAGTCGATGGGCTTGTCCCGGTAGAACATGAGGACGAACTCCACGATCAGGCTCAGGTCCAGCGACTTGAACATCTTCCCTGGGGCGGGCGGGACACGGTGCGGGGTGCATGGCGCTCCCCTGCCTCCTCCTGTCCCCAGGGGGCCGCCGGGAGGGCCCAGGCCACCCGGCGGGCGGGCATCAGGCAGGGGCTGCGCCCGGCAGGGCG